CAGCAAAACGGAGCAGCAGGCAGCCAGCATCCAGCAGCAGCAAGCACACAAGCAGCAAGCAGCAGCAACCAGCAAGCAGCCAAGAGCATCCAGCAGCACCAAGCATGCAAGCAGCAAGCAGCAGCAACCAGCAAGCAGCCAAGAGCCAGGCGCAGATGAGACGCCAGCAGCAGCAGCAGCAGCGACCAAGCAGCAGCAGCAGCAGGAGGAGCAGCTACCAAGCAGCAGCAGCAGTAGCAGCAGCTACCAAGCAGCAGCTGCTAAGCAGCAGCAGCAGCAGCTACCAAGCAGCAGCAGCAACAGCTACCAAGCAACAGCAGCAGCAGCTACCAAGCAGCAGCAGCAGCAGCCAAGCAACAGCAGCATCAGCTACCAACCAGCAGCAGCAGCAGCAGCAGCAGCTACCAAGCAGCAGCAGCAGCCACCAAGCAGCAGCAGCATCAGCAGCAGCTACCAAGCAGCAGCAGCAGTTACAAAGCAGCAGCAGCATCAACAGCAGCAGGAGCAGCTACCAAGCAGCAGCAGCAGCAGCAGCAGCAGCAGCAGCAGCAGCTACTAAGCAACAGCAGCAGCAGCAGCAGCTACCAAGCAGCAGCAGCAGCAGCAGCGACCAAGCAGCAGCAGCAGGTAGCGAGGAGGAGAAGGGTGGAGTTGAACCCTGCGAGGAGGGGGTGAGGGGTAAGTTCCCCCAGAAGTGGGAGGCCACGGAGATCGATGGTGTGCGAGCGGCAGCGATGCACACCTTTTCTATGGCTGCGGATGCACGTATTGGGCTTCAATAGTCTTGAGCAAAATGAATTTTAGCATAAGCTGACTGAAGTAATCTACACAGATCTAACTACGAAGAACAGGTGCTACACACGTATAGCGTAGACACGCCTAGGGGACCTAGGGCACTACAAACACAAAATACAGACACAAATTTTCTTCGCGTCGAAGCTCTTACGATCGCTAAAAGTACAAAATCTTGCGTGAGCAAAAGAATGCACATGAATTACAAACGTCGCAGAACTAGACCGTAGATGCCATTCTGGCTCATCTAAGTTGCGTCAGATATTCTATACAACTCTACGAAAGGCAAATCTATTCTGTCGAAAGTTCCGGAACATCGGAAGTTTTCTCAAGTCAAATTCAAGTCGTTAAATCTAAGATCAAATCTGTAAAGGCCTTTCGTTCTCTAAATCTGGATCATTTAGCTCACGCAATTATTTAGCTCTCAGGCAGTTCACTAGCCGGAATATCGGCTGTTTAGAGTCTGTCTGCCAGCATATCGGCTTTTTGCAGACTCGGCTACCAGTTTGTATTCGGAACTCCACGAGTATCCGGGCTGCCACCACGAGCTAGAGGCGCTTGAGGGCCAGTGGTCCTGTTGCTGCCAGGAAGAGCTGGACCATCTGTCCTGTCGATTCGGAAGCGCTCTGTCCTTTAAGCGCTCCACTCGATCAATCTGCTTCTCAACACGGTATAGGCAGCAGAGGCTTCGCCACGCACTCGAATCTTATGACGACTGGCAAGCGAGAAGTTACACTGAAAAGGATGATGGTAAGCTTCATCGCTGCTCTTAAGACAAAAGTCCAGGTGATTGAGATGCTTCAAGAGCTCGTTTGTCTTAATGGTCGTCTCTTTCTGTCGAGGCGGGCCTTCGTAGCCGATTCGTCCACGGTCTTCTGGAATATCGGATGACCTAGTTCGCAACGTGTGCATGTCCTTGCCGTAGTTGAGGACGATCTGCAATAAGCAGTCACAATCGGCATCCAGGCCTTCCAAAGCGGCGAGCTGTTCAGTAGCGAGGGTTGAGACCTCCCAATTGTAAGTAATTTCGTTTACTTGGCTCGCGCTTCTTGTTTGCTGAAACAAGGATTTGGTCAAGGATGGTAAGGACAGCGCCGGTCGCCGGATCTGCGTGTCGGTCGGACCGGAAGTTGCGATTCGTGAACTGATTTGCATCACACGCGATGACGTCTACCTGGTCTGCCACGGCCGTGATCAGAATCTTCGCGACGGCGTTCTTGCCGGCCGTGATACCTGACTGAAAGGCATGGGCATTGATATGAAAAGCGCAAACTCGCAAGTCTGGCATGCGCATACGTTTGCAGTCTCATTCAGAGAAGACTTCCTGTCCGGAATATCGGACATTCGTGGAACAATGCCTCAGTATCCACCGGTTCAGCTCGAACGAACGTGGTGGATGCCTGTGCCACACCTAAAGTGTCAGGGCAAACAATTGCCTCCATATTTTCTGCTGAATCAGCAAGCCCTCTTCAAGGGCTGCACGGAGGTTCTTTCTGACTCCTCTGTCATCAGTGATGCCGCCGTGAGTCGTTTCTTCGACCTTTCCCCAAAGCACGCGGAATGTCGCGGCATGGGCTATACCCAAGCAAGGCGTTCGCCTTCAAGCTCGATTCGGCGGATTAGTTCCAATCTTGATGTGGAACCGTCGGTGGAACAGATTCCGGCAATGGAAGGTGATTCACCATCGGATAAGGCGACGACACACATGCGCTGGTATTGATTGAAAAGTTCGCGGTGTCGTTCCATCCGCCTCCAATAGGATCGTAACGCGCGCCGTGTTTCGAAGCAAAACGGCATACTGATCCGAATCTGCGAGCTCCTTGGGCAGAGGCTGCTTGCCGTTAAGATGGGGCAATCGATTGATATCGCCAAGGTTGAGCAGCAAGACACTGACGTGTTCGGTCGAGCGAAGAAGTCTTGCCTGGTCAAGATCAAAGTCTCCCTGATTGGCGCGATAGCCCTGCATGTAAGAACGGCTATAAGTTCGACAATCTGTCGCATCTCGTCGCCGTCATACCGGCGTTTCGAGTCGTAATGGCAGCTTGGTCGAATAATCGGGCACGGCGCTACGTCGAACTGTTCGTCCCAGTGTTGAGCAACTGCTACTACGGTTTTTGAGCTTGTGGACTTATAACCCTAAGAGATATCTAACATATGAACCCCTAGACGTGATAAAGTGCAAATGAGCTTATGGAACTTTGAGTTCCCCACGTTGCCCTGCTTTGTACTTCTAGAAAATCACCACATTTTTTCTCCATTTTTGTCTGAAACTGAATTCTGTTGTCCCTCTCCCCAGGCCGCGCTCTCCCCAATTGCATTGCGCTTCTCTTTAGGTTTCCATGGGTTCGATATCTTGTGGAAATGAACGCCCCGCAACTTTGATGGCCCAAAAGATTCAATTACCCGTTCTGATATCAAAAATGAAATCACATCACATTGTATCAATCAGTGCGCTCATGAGGGCGAATTCCTCCATACCTTCAAGCCTCATTTAGACCAATTGAGAAGAGTTCGTTGGACACCAAGAATGAAATGATAGAATGAGAGTTTAGTTCAATGTTCCAAGAATGAGATTATAGAATACCTTGACAGACAATAACACGCCCCCGACACGGCCCCGACACGGCCCCGACACGGCCCTGACACGGCCTATTTTATCACCCTTTTTTATCCCCTTTTTCAGCAACAAAACTCCCAGTTCTCACGTGTGATGAGAATCACAGTGGGGCTGGGTGAACCTCAGCACATGCTTCGCAGATGGGCGAGCCACATCTGGCTTCACTTGAAGTTGGCTGCTTGGTCAACTTGGGATTTGACACGGGCGCAGCTCTCATTCAACGAGTTGGTCTCTGCATCCAGTGAAAATACTTAACAGTCGACTTTTGAGCTTCCTTAGCATCGCGGATGACTTCCCGC